GGGCTCCCCAAGCTCCCACAACCAGGACAAGAGACACCCAGTAGTCTAAGTGACCCTTATGTTATCTGTATAGCCAGGGGCTCCCCCAAACTCCCACAATCAGGACCAGAGGTGGCTAACAGCCCAGATGACCTCTATGCTATTTATATGACAGAGACCAGACCTTCCTTAGGCCCTTAAGCTAGTACAGGTAGCCTATCTCTAGAACCCATCTTTTTGGAAGAAATGACATGTACCCTGAGTCGAGTTTTAATATAATTGTTCTTCCTTCTGCACTGGAATTGCATTATACCAGGAAATTTTTTTCCAAATTATACTGTGTTTAAATTTGTTGGGAATAAGCTGCCTGGCATCAGACTCTCTAGAAGGTTTGATCCAGGCGTGTCCCCAAAATAAAATAATCTTAAAAGAAAAAAAAAAGATGGGTTTGGGGATTAGCTCAGTGGTAGAGCGCTTGCCTAGCAAGTGCATGGCCCTGGGTTCGGTCCTCAGCTCTGAAAAAAAAAAAGACAAAATAACAACAACAACAACAAAAAGACAGCTCAGGGACTGGGGATTTACTCTGTGGCAGAATGCTTGTCCAGCAAGCATGAAGCCTTGAGTTTAGCCCTCAGCTCCAGGAGCAGGTGTGCAAACGCAGGCTGAACAGGCATGGAGAACCAGGCAGCGAGCTTGCAGCATCTGCCATGGCTTCCCTCGTAGTGGAATATAACCTGCAATCCAAACGACCCTTTCCCCCCCAGACTGCTTTCGGCCATGCTGTTTAACACAGCAGAAAAGCAAACAGGGGAAGGAACGAGCCTGGGTGTCTGTCAAAGGAGGAATAGAGAAAATATGCAGCTCACAGTAGACTTTTATTGATTTATTTTTAGCCATAAAGAAGTTATGGCGTCTGCAGGAAAGTGGATACACCTGGAGATACCGAGCAAAGAGACAGATATTGTGTTTTCTCTTACTTATATGGAGGGCAAGCCTCTGATCCTTGCTCTTGAGAACAGAGGTAGTAAGCTAGAAGCTGGCCTGGTCTAGATTGTATACAGCTACATGAAATCGTGTTTGTGTATGTGACATGGAAGTAAGGCCTACAAGATGGCTAATGAATGTAATGGGGGAAAAGGGAAAAAGAAAGCAGAATTGAAGCCAGGTGGTGGTGATGTACCTTTGATCCCAGCACTTGGGAGGCAAGAGGCAGGTGGATCTCTGAGTTTGAGGCCAGCCTGGTTCAGCATGAGTTCCAGGACAGCCAGAGCTACATAGAGAAACTCTGTCTCAAAGGGGGTGGAGGAGTAGAATTGAAACTGTCTCCAAGGACAAAGGGGACTTAAGGGAAGGATCCAGTTGAGACAAGGAAACACGGAGGATGTGCTCAATGCACTTCACTTGTACCAATAAACAAACAAACAAACAAACAAACAAATAAAAAACCCTAGGGGCCTGGGACGATCACTCAGTTGGTAAAGTTCTGCCCTTGAAAGTGTAAGTTTGATCCCTAGAATGAATCTGTAATCCCAGCATCCGGAAGGCAGAGACAGGTGGAGCCCTGAGGCTCACTGCTACCCAGCCCAACCTAAATGTTAAGCTGCAGGCCAGTGAGGGAACCTGTGGCAAAAAGAAAAAACAAGACAAAACAACAGGACAGCACCTGAGGAATGCGGACACGGAGGCTGTGCTCTGGCCTCCACACACACACGTGTGCACACACAGAAAACTGAGTTGTGATGGTCGTATGATGCTAATTTGCTGAAAGCATTGGAGTGCATGTTTGCAACATAAATACACAGGCGTGTTTAACACAAGGGAGTCTCAGTGTAAGTCAGGCTCGTTTAAAGGGCAGCTAAAAAACATTTAAAAAAGTGTTTCCAGCTAACGTCAAGCCCTCTGGTTTTAGAACTTAAGTGTCCTAGGAATCCTTCAGCTAGGAACGCTCAGCCGGTGGCCTCCTCTCCCTCTTCTCTAGCACACAGTTTTCAGTGATCTCAGAGTTCAGGGGCTGCTAGCTGTTCTGGGTCTCCTCTTTTGGAGAAGTTTGGAGTTTAAATCCGCAGACTCAGCCCCTCTCGGTGTAAATATGTTGGCTTTTGATTGAAGTAGAAAAACGGGCACTGGAAGGGATACAGTGGAAGGTGGAGGGTTGCCACTGGTGTCCTCCAGGTATGCTGAGAGGCTAACCTGCAACCTTATTACAAATCCAGGCCCTGGTAAGGCCTGCACCTCTCCCTTTCCTCTTCTGTGCTGAGACTGGCCTGTTCTCCAAGCTTACCATCCCCTGCCATACCTCTCAGCCATGGTACAGGCTGTCCCCTTTCCTTGGCTACCTGGAGACTTCTCCACTGTCACCTCCTTTTAAGGCTCCTTGGCACACTCCCTGGCCTGGTATCCCCTTGCAGCCTTATCTTCCTGCACAGAGGGATTGTTTATGCGTCTGCTTCCCCCACGGCTCTCTGGGGGCTCCCTGCACACAAAGCCTGACTTATTTATTGCTTGTTCCCAAGGCCCTAGTACAAACCTCAACACGTACCCTGCCTAGCCCAATGAAGAAACGAAGGGACCCTCCCACCACATCACACAGGGGCAGGAAGACCCAGGGAGACACTCCTGTCCCTGGTCTATTCTTGGCTGAAAGGACTTCTCTTATGTGATCCCAGAATGGCCAGAGAGCCACTCCCTTTAGAACCTCACCCAGGGCAGGAGCCCGCCCTCCACTTGCTTTGGAAACTGCCTTAGTGTAATTGAAACCACGGAACAGGGGCCCGAGCAGCTGCAGGCAGCCCAGAGTAGGATCCTGCTGGAGCCTCCCTGCCACTGCTGCCAGGACCTGGGAGGCAGGACGAAGTCTTGTTCCCTCTCAGGGATTCTTGCTGCAGGGAGAGGGAACAAGATTAAAATGCATGGGAGCCTGAGCACAGCTCTCTTTATACAAGCTGATATTTATTTTTAGTATTCTCTCGTATGATGTGTGAGCCCATGTACAAGGTGAGAGGACCACTCTGTCGGGTCAGCTCTTTCCTTCCACATTTTCCATGGGTTCTGGGAATTGAACTCAGGTCCTCAGGCTTGTGTAACAAGACTTTTACCATCTCACCTACTGTGTGTGTGTGTGTGTGTGTGTGTGTGTGTGTTTAAGGCCAACTTGGTTTACATAATGAGTTCCAGGACTGCCAGGGGCTATGTAGAGAGACCCTGTCTCATAAAACCAAAAAGAAAAAAGAAAACCTCTATGAAAGGGGCTAAATCGGCAGTTAAAATCACTTGCTGCTCTTCCAGAGGGCCCAGGTTCAAGTCCCAGTACTCCAGTTCCTCTTCTGGTCACCTGCTGGGATTACAGATGTCACTTTTTATTTTTATAATGTCTCACTGTGTAGCCCTGGCCAGCCTGGAACTCAAGGAGATTTGCTTGGCTTTGCCTCCAAATGTTGGGATTAAAGGTACCAACTCACCAGGATGTAGCAGGTTTTCTCTTTGGGCCACCAACCAGCTCCCAAATATTGACGTGGAGACTTATTAGTTAAGAATGCTCAGTCTTAGTTTAGGCTTGTCCCACTAGCTCTTATAACCTATTTTAACCCATTTCTCTTCATCTACGCTTTACTTTGGGGCCTTTTCCCCTACTTTCCTGCTTTCTCCGTGTCTGGCTGGCTGTCCCTGGGTGTCTCCCTTGTTCTCACCTCTGGAGCCTAGATTCCTCCTCCTACTTATTCTCTCTGCCCACCAGCCCTGCCTATCCCTCCTCTGCCTAGCTATTGTCCAGTCAGGTTTTTGGTTTTTTTTTTTTAAAGATTTATTATGTATACAGTGTTCTGACTGCATATATGCCTGCAGGCCAGAAGAGGGCACCAGATCTCATTACAGATGGCTGTGAGTCACCATGTGGTTGCTGGGAATTGAACTCAGGACCTCTGGAAGAGCAGTCAGTGCTCTTAACCTCTGAGCCATCTCTCTAGCCCCCAGTCAGGTTTTTACTAGACCAATCCGGTACCTTAGGTGGGCAAGGTAAAACAGCAACACATCTTTTCATGGTTAAACAAATGCAACACACCTTTACATGGCTAAAGTAATATTCCACAACATCGGGCCTTTCATAATTTAAAAAAAAAAAATATTTATGTATGAGTGCTCTATCTGCATATATCCCTTTGTGCCAGAAGAGGGCATCAGATCCTTCTGAGATGTTTGTGACCCACCATATGGTTGCTGGGAATTAACTCAAGACCTCTGGAAGAGCAGCCACTGCTCTTAACCTCTGAGCCATCTCTCCAGGCCCAGTTTTTCTTTTTTTTTTTTAAACATGCATTTGTGTTTTGCCTGCATGCATGGCATGTATGGTCTGTGTAAGGGTATTTGATCCCCTGAAGAAGGAGTTACAGTTGTGAGCTGCCATGTGGATGCTAGCAATCGAACCCTGGTCCCCTGGAAGAGCAGCCAGTGCTCTTAACTGATGAGCCATCTCCCTAGCCCCAGCTCGTTTGTTTTTCAAGACAGGGTTTCTCTGTGTAGACCCAGCTCTCTTGGCACTCTGTAGACCAGGCTGGCCTTGAACTCACAGAGATCAGCCTGCCTCTGCCTCCCAAGTGCTGGGATTAAAGGCGTGCGCCACCACTGCCTGACTAGTCCATTTTTAAATTTTTTTTTTTTTTTTTTTGGTTTTTCGAGACAGGGTTTCTCTGTGTAGCTTTGCGCCTTTTCCTGGAACTCACTTGGTAGCCCAGGCTGGCCTCGAACTCACAGAGATCCGCCTGGCTCTGCCTCCCGAGTGCTGGGATTAAAGGCGTGCGCCACCACCGCCCGGCTCCATTTTTAAATTTTTGTGTTTTGTTTCCATGTAGATCTGTGCACCACATGCGTGCCTAATGCCCATGGTGGTCAGAAGAGGTGATTAAATCCCCTGGACCTAGAGTTATAGGTAGCTGTGACTGCTGTGTTGCTACTGGGAACCCAACCTGAGTCCTCTTCAAGAACAGCAAGTGATTTTAACTACAGAGAAAGTCCCTTTCATATAGGGCTTTTCGTTTTTATTTTTTATTTTTGGTTTTGTAAGACAGGGTTTCTCTACACAGCCCCTGGCTGTCATGGAACTATGTAAAACAGGTTGATCTAACTCGTATCTACCTACCATTGCCTACCCAGTGGCGGGATTAAAGACATGTGCCACAACACCTGGCTTGTAAGGATTTTTAAAGCTGGTTTTAGGGGTTGATCCATCTCATTGGTCTTTTTTTGAGACAAGGTCTTATGTAGCCCAGGCTGGTCTTGAAATTGCCCTAGGGCCTAGACTACCTTGAACTCCTGACCCTCCCACCTCTACTTCCTGAGTGATGGGTTCATAGGCATGATCTTTCCAGGCTTTTGAAACTGTATCAACAAAACTGGCTTTTTGAAATATCTATTTAATTTTGTGTGTGTGTGGACTGCAGAAGCCAGAAGAGGGCATCAGATCCCCGGGAGTTGGAGGCACAGGTATTTGTGAGCAACCAGACCTGGGTGCTGGGAACCAAACTCAGATCCTTTAGAAAAGCAGTCATTTCTTCTGCCCCGTCTCAGTGGCTGATAGTGTAATTCAGTGAGTGTTTCTCCCAGGAGCATGAGAGCCCTAGGTTTGATCCCCAGCATCTGGAGGGGAGGGGGATCATAGTTATAGAACATTAAACCAACCACAGGGCCTTAGCACATAGCTCATTTTTTGCTAGGTTTTCCCAAGGGAACCACTTCCATGTTTCCTTTGCAGAAACCAGAGCCTGGATTAGAAACGGGGATGCCTAAACCAGTCACTCGGCTTTCCACACTGTATGGCCTGTTCGTGGTCATCAAACAAATACAGTCTAATGGGCTGTTGGTAAATTCCTCCTGAGAAAGATGCATACAATGGTTACCCTTACTCCAATGTCCCAACAGCACCCCAAGGCAGAGCTCCACCAAAGATCTCTCTCCACCTCAGGGTGGGTGGCAGCAATGCATTTATTAGGCATACATATGGAAGAATGGGTCAAGTTACCAAGAAATGATGGCTCCCCCAACGGCTGCACAGGTAGAACCGCCTTCCTCCTCCTTGGCACCTACATCCTCCAGCCCCCCCCCCCCCCCCAAGACTTCACACATGAGGGCAGAGTGGCTGGCGGAATACTCAGGTGAGAGCCCAGGCCCCTCCCCCCGACCTGTGTCCATGAGGGGAGGGGTTAACAGACCCAGCTGCCACCTTTCTCGAAGTGGTGGAGGCACACTCCTGAAGATAGTGCAGTCTGGTTAAGAACAGTGCTGCAGAGCAGAGAAAGTAAGCTCAGCACACTCTGAGACCACAGCAGAGGGAGGATGAACTGGGGGGTGGGGAATTCAGGGAGGCTACCTGGTGCTTAGCCACATGTGGGAGAAGAAATTAGAGACAGCACTCGGGATACACAGGAGGGGGCAGGGGGCAGATAGACACACAGACACAGGTTGCTATATAGCTCAAGCTGGCCTCAAAATGGCTAAATGTGGGCTGGAGAGATGGCTCAGCCGTTAAGAGCACTAGCTGTTCTTACAGAGGTCCTGAGTTCAATTCCCAGCACCCACAGGGTGGCTCACAACCATCTATGAGATCTGGTGCCCTCTTTTGGCATGCAGGCACACATGCAGACAGAACACTGTACACACAATAAATAAATCTTTAAAAAAGGCTAAACGTGCGGGCAGCACAGCTGTAAAGGGGAGACCGCTACAAAAGCAGAAGAGTGTCTACTTGTCCAGCCCACTGTCCTCGTGTACCTTACACGACTGCTTCCGTACACACGCTCACTTCTTCAGATGCCATTTCCGTTATCCAGCTTTCTCCTCATGCAGCTTTCCCAGTATCTGGACCCACAGGTAAGGACCACCATGCCCGGCTCTCATGTGCTACTCTGGATTTGCTTGGGTGTTTCACTACATAGTGGTCACGATGGAGACCAGGCAGACCTATGACAGAGTCCCCATTTCAGCTTTTCCAGTGCTAGGTATGTTGGGGTTTCAGGTGTGCACACTCTTGACTCCATCTGCTTCTCATCTGAGACAGGTCTCACTATGTACCTCGAGCGGCACTGCAAGCCCAGGTGGATCAGAGGCGGGATTAAAGGAGCCCACCACCATCACGACTACTTTTTTAAAGTACTGGGACTGACTCAGGGACTAGGGAAACACCATTATCAAGCTAGACACCCTTAACCAACCCCTTTTTAAAACTTTCCTTTTTGAGGCAGGATTTTACTCTTGTAGCCCTGTTAACTTCAAACTAACGGTGACCCTTCTGTCTCCGCCTCCTAAATGCTGGGATTACAGGTATGAGCCAAAAGGCCCAGCTGCTACCACTTTTGCTTAGATAAGGTCTCATGTAATGCAGACAACTTTGAACTTGCAATGTTGCCAAAGATGATTCCTGATCCTCTTGCCTCCACCTCCCCAAGTGCTAGCAGAGCACACAACCACTCCTTAAAATAAAAAAAAAGTGATTGGCCAGGCATGGTGACGGGGGCCTTAATGCCAGCATTCAGGAGGCTATCCTGGTCTACATAGTGAGACCCTGGCTGAAAGGGAAAAAAAAGTTGGCTGGACATGGCAGTACATCCCTTTAATCCCAGCACTTAGGAAGCATTAGCAGGCAGATCTCTGAGTTCCTGGCCAGCAAGGGTTAACAGAGTAAGACTGTTTAACAGGGGGGAAAAAAAAAAGAAAGAAAAAGACATGCGAAGACCCCCCAACTCTTGCTAGCCCTCGAAGCTACAGGAACAAGCGTCATCTGAGAACTGACCAGCTAGGGTATCTGCGGCACCAGTCCAGCAGCAGGTGGCAAGCTTGTCCTCCTTCCAAGCTACCTTAACTGGGTGACAGCTTCCTTAGCGGGCCACAAGTGGGTGGAGCTAGTAGCCTAATTCCGGCAGGAGCTGGTGAAGGTCCCGAGCTCTCGTGTCTCCTGCTAAGCTTAACTGTGTAGCCTTCACAACTTTCCAGCCGCCCAAAGCCAGCTTCTCCACACCGCAACACTCCTCCGACTGGGGGATTATTCAAGAGCAACTTGTGAACAGGTTGCTAACGGGAGAGAGAGGGTTCGTTTTTGCACGCCATCTGGCCTCTGGGCAAAAGAGAGAAAACATTCCAGGGCCCTTAGGGACAGAGGCCCCGAGAGGACGAGATCGGATGGAAGCAGAAGAGCCCTGAGGAGGCTAGGACCCAGGTGCCCATAGGCCTACGTCACCATTCCGCCTCTGCGTCGGCACCTGAGCCAGAGCCCCTAGAAGATTCCAAACAAGTCTCGTGTCCCCCTAAGTGTCTCAGAAGATCCTCCAGCCCTGCGAGTGTGTTCGGCAGGGAAACTGAGGCAGGGCGTGCGTGTGGATTCATTCCTTCCCGCCTACATCGCAAGACAAGCAAAGCTGCTTTTCCCCGCTCCCTAGGACCACACGAGACCACAGGGAAGGGCGGGAAGATGGGGAGGGGGTCGAAAGCGATCAAGGGTCTGGGGAAGCAGCCAACATTGCCACACTCAAGATGGCGGCGCGGCCGTGGCGAGGTCCCTCAGAGGCGGTACCAACGCATGCGCAGCGCGGAGTCCCGGCCCGGGACACAAGATGGCGGCAGCGGCGCTGGGGAGGGCGAGGCGGAGGCGGCAAAACGGGCGGTCGAGCAGAACGTGTGGCCGCATCCCCTCGAGTCCGTTTCGGGCAGGTAAGAGCCCCAGGAAGCCATGGTCCCGCCGCGAGCCGCGCCAGGGTCCGGGAGTCCGAAGCAGGACGGCGGAGGTCCCTCCGGCGCTTCCCGCTCGGGGCTGCCGCTCGCCCGGTCTCTTTCGCCGCCGCCATCTTAGACCCGCGGGTGGGCAGCAGGGCCGCTGGCTGGGGTGAGTGCGGTGGGCCCGGAGAGCGCGGACGGAGCGGCCTCTAGGGTCCCTCCGCTGCTGCCGCTGCCGCCGTCGCCACCGCCTTTGTGTCGGGCTCCGACTCTGAGTCGCCTCAGCCCGGGGGCGGGAGCGCGCGGCAGGGCGGGGGGCGGAGCCCGGAGATGGGCCGGCGCGCGCGCACCGAGCATCCCGCCCCCGCTGGGCCCGGGGGAGGGGGGCGCGGGAGCGCGCTGGGGTAGGCCCCGCCTGCGCGCCTGCGCACTTGGCCGGCCCTGTGGCTCCGCCCGCCGCAGCCGGAGCGTTATGATTGGTACACTGGGAAGTGCCGCCCCACGTTCCTCCAATCCCGGAGTCGGATACTTTTCCTCTCCCGGGTTCCGCTGGTTACGCAGATACAGTTGTTTGTCTTTAGACTGCGCTACGTTTCTTGGACTTTGGTATGCGTGGGGGTCCGGAAGGCAGAGGCTAAGCGAAAACATGAACCTAATGGGAGCGGTAGACGCTGACTACGGTGCAGGGGTCGAGTGGTTCGGCCTTAGCAGTCGGGATGGCGCACGGCCTGGAACTTGGGTCTGGCCAGCTTCCAAGCTGGTGTTTTGGCCGGAGACCTGCTGCATCCATCTAAGCGGATTTCTTTTGTTTCTTGTTTTTAGAGACAGGATCTCCCTGTGTAGTAGCCCTGGCTGCCCTGGAACTCAACTACGTAGACCAGGCTGGCCTCGAACTCACAGAAATATGCCTGCCTTTGCTTCTCGAGTGCAGGGATTAAAGGCGTTTGTCACCATACTCGCCTCATTTAATTTTAAAATTATTATTATTAGTGTGTGCGTGCGTGCGCGCGCCCGCCCATAATGTGTGCTGGTCCTGTAACCCTAGGGCTCATATGCCTGGCAGTTACTGCACTACGTAGGGTCACCATTAGCCCTTAACAAATTCTAAGTTGGTAACGTTTTCAAGCCGTGTAAAGTGAAAAAAATCAGTCATCTTGTCTCCCAGGCCCACTTGTGGTGTATTTAAAAATTACAAAGTCTTGTCGAGGGTGATGGCATAGACCTGGAATTCTAGCCCTTAAGAGATGGAGGCAGGCTAGGACGAGCAAGGGCAGTAGGCCTGTAATCTCAATACTTGGAGATACCGGCAGGCGTTTAAGGCCGGACCCAGCTATGTGAGGTAACCTAAAGTTACCAATTCTTTTGTGACTACCTTCCCGGTTTCTGACTCCTAACAGGTATAAGGCGGTACAGCAACCCTAGATGAGTCTGGTAACAGCTGGTTTGGGAAATGCTATGGCGGTCCCATTTGGGTGGCAGTGGGCTGGGCTGCTTCTGCCTTCTCTAACAAATGCATCTACGAGGTGCGCCCTGTCACATTTCTGGGATAAACATTTTTCAATAAAGGCGAATGAGATGTGCTATATGTGTTTGCATGTTTTATTTTTATTTTATAATATTTTTTAATAAGACGTTATTCAAAGCAGTGTGTCTTTTACTAGTTGTGGGTGACTTAAGAGAGTGCCCCCAAGTCTTGCATATATATGCTTTGTTTCCTCTTCTTTGGTATACAGACACTTTGGTTAGCACAGCTGCTGTACCGTGTATGGGACTGCAGTGTTCAAAATGAAGACATGATTCCCATTGCCATGTATCTGTATCCCACCTAATGGGAAAGCTGAAGTGGGAGGATCTTTTGAGCTCAGTGGTTGAAGATCAATCTAGGCAACACAGTCAAATCCAATTCAGAAAGGAAAGCTGATGATGGTGGCCCTCACCTGAAATCGTAGCACTTGGGAAATCAAAGAAGACAGATTGGGAGTTCAAGGTCATACTCAGCTACCAAGTGAGTTTGAGGCCAACCTGGAATACTTGAGTCCCCATCTCAACCCAAGAATAAAAAAGAAAAAAAAAAGTGTCAGTTCTAGGATTTCAGGTGGAATTGCTTATTGGAGTGCTCACTTAGCACCCTCAGATCTGGCTTTGATCTCCAGTCAAGCAAGTTGTTTCTTCTTCCAGTCCTGGTCGTACAGGACTAACCTTGTCTCAGCTAACCCCAGAGACCGAAGCAGGATGATTGTATATTTGATGCCTTCTTGAACTACAGATCAAGTTCAAAGACATTCTTATCCACTTTTTGAGAGCCTGCCTCAAGAGTTCAAGAGGCCTGGCTCAGTGGCAGAACAATTCTCTAGCATGAGCAAGGATCTAGACTCTATTCTAGTACCTCATATTTTTTAAGCTGTACATAGTGGTCTCAGCCAGGGGCTGGTGATGTAGCCCACGAGAGAGTACTTGCCTGTCGTGTACAAGGCTCAGGGTTCCATCCCTAGCACTTCAGAACAACCAACCAACCTCAAGGTGATAGATATGAAAGCATTAAGCCAAGTATAGAGCTGTAGAGCTCTGTTGAAAAACCAAGTTCAGGGCCTAGGAAGGCAAACTTTGTTGGTTGAAAGCCTGAGAAGTACATTGTTTTCATTTCTTAAAAGCCAGGTGATGGTGGGGTACTACTTTAATCCTAAGTACCCAGGAAGCAGAGGCACAAAAATCTCTGTGAGGTCGAGGCCAGCCTGGTCTATAGAGCAAGTTCTAGGACAGCCAGGGCCACACAGGGAAGCCGTCTTAAAAAACAAACAAAACAATAAAAAAAACCCAACTCAATAACAACAAAAAGGATCTGTTTCAGCACATTTATTTAGACAGGTTCACGCTATTATCAACTAGGCTTGTCTTGATCTCTGGGAAGGAACAACCTTGATTCCTGGAGCCTCCAGACCCTCCCAGTGTGTCGTTGTCCCTGCCTAGTAAGGTGTCACAGGCCAATGACTCTTTTCTTCTATTTGCTCTCCAGCTGCTGATGCACGGAGTCCCCTGGGTCCCTGTCAACTACACTGCTGACCAGCCCACCCACCTGTGCTGCACCTTCCTGTGGGTCTCCCTCCCGCTTCTGTGGGACCCCGTGAAGTGGGTTCAATCCAACCAGAGAAGAAAACCCTCTCATGCTAGTGTTGCAGACCCCAGAGGGTGAGAGAAAAGGGGACCTTATTCAGCCTTGAAACCCATGGGCTCAGCCCCTAAAGGAGTCATTCCAAACCTTTCTGTAATCAAGGCCTTCTTGTTATACATGTCTTGTTGCTGCTGCAATTTTTATCTGCCAAACTGTACAGATAAAGTAACTATTGACTTTTCCAAATTAACAGAGTCTCTGAGTGTACAATAAAATAAATGTTCAATGATTCCTATGTGGTCGTCAACAACCAGTCAGGGATCCTGATCAGCATGCAAAGAAAACCTTCCTATCAGCCTTTGTGGTCTTACTGTGGGTGAGGGTTTCTTGTGGGTTTTGTAACATATAAAAACAACATGAGCATCACCAGTGTGATCTCAGGTGGCGCCCTAGGTGTGTAGTAGTCCCAAACGGGGAAGCACCAGCCGTTGAGGCTTGTGCTGGGTGTGCTCTGGGAGGGAGTAGCGGGAATACAGACCTGAAGAAGCTGGCTTCAGTGTTAACCTGGGGCTTCGGAGGGACTGAACCAGATAGCCCTCTTCAGTTACACTGGTTTCCTTAGCAACAAACTACAACCAGAGTCCATGCTTCCTCCCCAGCTGACCCACTGAGACTTTACCTAGTGGGAAGCAATAAAACTCTGTCTTCCCAAGAGGAGAAGGCACTGGTCCTTGTAGGAGTGACTTTTCAAAGGCAGACCTTGGTCTTGTTGGCCACTTGGTGTTTTGTAAATGTCTGCAGGATTAGTAGAGTTCCTTTGGGTCCGGGTGGCATTTGTAGCTCTGGAAAGCAATGCACTGGACCCAGTCTAATGAGACAGTCCCACGATAGGTCTAGCCACCTAGGCACTACAGTGCATTTTCAGTGACACTGTGCAATAGCTTTGTCCACCAAACCTGGGCAGGGAGGCAGGAAAGTGCCTTCCTGGAAGATGTGAGTCCAAGGGTAAGCCAGGCCACTAAGGGGGAGGATTGGCTAGGCGGGCACCCTATCTTACAGTTGAGGGACAGAAACTTCAACTTCACTGCTCCTGTGGCACCAGTTGGCTGGCTGTCCAGGACAAGACTGTGTTGGATTGCTCAAATCTGTAGATAAGTTGCCAGAGCCCTAAGTTGTAATTGGTGAGTAGGATGGAGCTGACACTCTCGGTCCTCTGTGTGGCAGGTCCCGAGTGGCTGCTGAGATGGCCAATGAGAATCACGGCAGCCCCCGGGAGGAAGCATCCCTTCTAAGTCACTCTCCAGGCACCTCCAATCAGAGCCAGCCCTGTTCTCCAAAGCCAGTTCGCCTAGTACAGGACCTCCCAGGTACTGAAGGGAGTGGTGGGGCTGGTAAGATGGCAGGGGTGCTGTGCACAGCCCTGACTGTCTGGGTTGTACTCTTGTTTGCAGAGGAGCTGGTACATGCAGGCTGGGAGAAGTGCTGGAGCCGGAGGGAGAGCCGTCCTTACTACTTCAACCGATTCACCAACCAGTCCCTGTGGGAGATGCCCGTGCTGGGCCAGCACGATGTGCTTGTGAGTGCCAACTTGGGGCAAGGGTCTCAGAGCAGGCCTCTGGCCTTCCACAAATGTATCTCAAACAGCTAGGTGTCTTGCCCTGTGCTGATACCTACAGATAAAATGTCAAGCAAGACAGTCCCTGTCTTCAAAGACCCTACCATCAAATAGGAGAGACAGGGGAGCAGATTATTAGTGTAGTATGCTGAATACTGGGCACCATGCAAAGAGGTAGAGAGATGTCATCAAGAGCTCCCTGTCTTTGTGATATGCTTATTCTGTGGTAGATAGTAGGATTCCAGTTGTGGACTTATTTAAAGAATGTATTGAAATCCATTGGGAATCCTGGTCTGGGAAGAGAAGGAAGAGAATCAAGGTTTAAGGTGAGGCTGGCTAAGGGGGAGGGGAAGAATGTTCTAGTCTAACCACAGGCTATCTGGTAGGAACCTCAGCTCTTGGATCCCTCAGCTGGAGCAACCCTTACTATACAGATTCAGGCAGGACCTCTTCATTTTGCAGGTGAAGACAGTGAGGTTCAAAGGGAAGTAGCTAGCCCAAGGCCATATGGCTGCTTGTAGGCAGAAGGGTGTCTGCAGCGATTCTTGGTGTCACTAAAGGAGGTCCATGCAGAGCTTCTGTATCTGAAAAATAACATTCCCTGACTTCTCCTGATTCTTGATTGCTATTTGTTCTTTTTAAAAAAGATTTAGCTATTTATTATAAGCGCCAGAGATGGTTGAGAGCCACCATGTGGTTGCTGGGAGTTGAACTCAGGACCTCTGGAAGAACAGTCAGTGCTCTTAACCACTGAGCCATCTCTCCAGCCTGCTATTTGTTCTTAAGGCACTGATCTAACACAGACATCATACCAAGTCACTCACTGACTTGTGTCACAATGTCAGTGCTGAGGTGGGGTTAACATGGCCTTTCTGAAGGTGAGGGCATAAGGAAGCAGGTAGCAGGCAGGCTGGAGTCTAGGGTTCTTCATCTGCACCCCAGACCTCTGGCCTCCTTAAGGAAGAGTCTGAAGTGTGGGGCTCCTAAGCCACTGGCCCTGTTTGCAGTTCCACTGTTTTCCCTCCACTAGTCGGACCCTTTGGGGCTGAATGCAACCCCACTGCCCCAAGACTCAAGCTTGGAAACTCCTCCTGTGGAGAACAAGCCCAGGAAGCGGCAGCTCTCGGAAGAGCAGCCAAGTGGCAACGGTGTGAAGAAGCCCAAGGTAAGTGTCTGGGGCTCTCAGGACCTGGCTGGTAAGTGGTTACCTTGGGCATGTGGCCAGCAGGTCCCTGCGAGGGCTGGGTCAAGAGGGAGTCCAAGTGCAGCTGCTGGGCCTGGTGCCTGCTGGGCCTGGTGCTGGGCCTGGTGCCTGCTGGGCCTGGTGCTGGGCCTGGTGCCTGCTGGGCCTGGTGCTAGGCCTGGCTGCTGGGCGTCTTCTGACTTGATACCTTTTGAATTCTCTTCCTTCAGATAGAAATACCTGTGACACCCACAAGCCAGTCGGTGCCCAGTTCCCCCAGCATCCCAGGAACCCCAACACTAAAGATTTGGGGTGCATCTGCTGAAGATAAGCAAGCAGCTCTACTCCGACCCACTGAGTGAGTTCTTGCTGATTGGCTTAGGTATCTTCATTGCTGATGGGCAGCCTGCCCAGGACTGTGTGGTGTGGCAGTGGTGGGCAGGCCATCTTCACAACTCCTGTCTGTGCCCCTAGGGTGTACTGGGACCTGGACATCCAGACCAATGCTGTCATCAAGCACAGGGCTCCTTCAGAGGTCCTGCCCCCACACCCTGAGGTCGAGCTGCTCCGCTCGCAGCTCATCCTGAAGCTCCGCCAGCACTACCGGGAGCTGTGCCAGCAGCGGGAGGGTGAGGGCTCTGCAGCCTCCCTCGCCTTGGCTTCACCACTTGGGTGTGGGTGGGAACTGGTGTGTGCTGTAGGGAAACAGACCTGTTGGGGTCCCAGCTCTGTGATGCTGAGTGCTTCTCAACTTGTCTGCAGTTTGGACACCTGTAAGTTGAGAACCAAAATTCTTAGAGAAAGCCTGCTCGGAGCCCACACCTCCCAGCTCTCAGGAGGCTCAGGCAGGATTTTGAATTCCAGGCTAGTCTGGGCTGCATTACCAGACCCTGTCTTAAAAAAATAAAGTACTCATGATTCTCAGACTATAGCTTGGGAAAATGAAGTCTAAGAAATAAGCATGTGAAAAACACCTTTTCCTGTCTCAGTGGACTCCCGCCGACTACTCCAGGTCCTTAGCAGCTCTCTTGTCTCACAGGCATTGAGCCACCCCGAGAGTCTTTCAACCGCTGGATGCTGGAGCGCAAAGTAGTAGACAAAGGATCTGACCCCCTGCTGCCAAGCAACTGTGAACCAGTTGTGTCACCGTCCATGTTCCGTGAAATCATGAATGACATTCCCATCAGGTATAGCTCCTCAGCTCAGCTGCTCGGTCCTTGTGCCAGGTCACATGTAGGAGGGTTCTAACTCTTGCCTGTTTTCTAACTCAGGTTATCCCGAATCAAGTTCCGGGAGGAAGCCAAACGCCTGCTCTTTAAATACGCAGAGGCTGCCAGGCGGCTCATTGAGTCCAGGTTTGGCTTTCTCTGCCCCACACAATCAAAATGGCTAATGCTCACAGGCTTGTCAATGCTGCCCAAGACAGATGGGGCTAGTGCCTGAGATGGGAGTGAAGGAGGAGGAGGGGAGGAGCAGAGACCTAACAGCTGGGCCCTGCACAAAGTACAGCTTTCTCTTGCGATCAACCTGCAGGAGTGCATCCCCTGACAGCAGAAAAGTGGTCAAGTGGAACGTGGAAGACACCTTCAGCTGGCTTCGGAAGGACCACTCAGCCTCCAAGGAGGACTACATGGTGAGAGGGCCCCAGGGTGAGGTGAAAGGCTCTGCTGGTCAGGCTGGCTTCCACAACAGCCTTTGTGCAGTGAGGCAGACCGTGATGCCCGTCAGTGCCCGTCACTGTGGAGATGCTCAAGGCCCATGGCTTTCTCTAAGCCATTCTTACTGCAATCTTAAGCTCAGACGCATACAAACAGCTGCCTTTCAACCTGATGAATGTTCAACATGTCTCCTCAGTAGATCTGTGAGAGCAGTCTGCCTTTTCTTGTGTGTATCCATGTTACAATTAAAAGCCACCTTCAGGGGCTGAAGAGATGGCTCAGCAGTTAAGAGCACTGGCTGCTCTGCCAATGAATTGGGCTTCAGTTCAGCACCTACGTGGGGCGTACAGCTGCCTGTAGCTCCCATTATAAGGGATCTGATGCCCGCTTCTGCTGCCGGGGGCACCAGGCATGCATTTGGTATCCAGACATAAGAGATGGTAAACACTAATATCACACACAAACGAAATACTGAAAAACAGCCAGCCACCATCAGACTCAGTCCCTGCTCTTAGTGTGTCTACAGCCCTTCTGCTCTCTGGCCTGTGCCTGTCACTTCTCCCTCTCCGTCAGCACTTGCAATGGGCTTTCCTTTCAGGACTGTTTCTCATAGACACGTTTTACACATGACAACATTAAGTGTACTTGACATGTGGTGACACACACAGGTCCAGCCCTGGCCAGAGTGACCTGTGCTCCCGTTGCAGTTTCACAGGTATCATTTTCTTTACAAGGACTTTAAAGTACAACCTTTAAGTCTACACCAACCAAGTTCTCTGTGCTGTAGCAGCAGCCCTCCAGTGGAAGGCCAGGGCTGTACGCTGTGGGCCTGTCCACTAGTCATCTTGGGTTCTGCCCATGGAACTGCAACAAAAACTGCAGCCGTTCATTGGACGGGCTTGGTGGATCAAGGGAATGACACTGACTGTTCACAATGTCCTGTTTGCTAGCTTCAATTCCCTTGATAGGAACAAGATTCAGAGAAGTCCAAGCGACATGGCTAGTAAACAGTAGAGCCACTTTCAAAACTGGGACATCTGGGATCCAATAGCCCCACAAGAGTTCCACCTGCCAGCCCCACCGAGGCCCTTGGGCCACCAGTGTCCTGACCAGGGCTTTTCTCCAGGACCGCCTGGAGCACCTGCGGAGGCAGTGTGGGCCCCATGTCTCCGCTGCAGCCAAGGACTCTGTGGAAGGCATCTGCAGCAAGATCTACCACATCTCCCTGGAGTATGTTAAACGGATCCGAGAGAAGCACCTCGCCATCCTCAAGGAAAACAACATCCCAGGTAGGGCTGAAATGGCGAGCCAGCTCTAATGCCATCTAGCCTGTGTCCTAGGCCCTGGTTGAAGGACTATGTGAGGCCGTGCCTCAGAGCCAGGGACTGGACTGATTGGGAGAACCTGTTTCTTGGAGTAATGTTGGGCAGAACCTGCTGTCCTTTGGCTCTGGGGTGTTAGTACTCCCCCGGGAAATGAACTAATGAGAATCAGAGAGCCAGAAGTTGATGAAAGATGGGCCTACAGTTAGTTAAGCAGACCTGGGTCATATCCCTAAAACTTTGCTTTCCCCAGCCCCGAGTGTAATAATACCCGCCATGATAATGTGAGTGTTCATATAAAAAACCACAGAGGCCCCAAAGATCCCTACATAAGCAAACTCAACTGTTCAAAGGCCACAGTTTTCATACTTCAATTGTCTGGCAGGCCAAAGGCATTGCAAATGGAGTCTGCTTCAGTGCCGAGTGTACTGATACATGCCACCAGTTAATGCCAGTTGCCTGGTGGCTTTTTAAATGGCTGTTTCCTTTGTGACGGAAACTGTGTGAGCACTGGCGTAGTAAGTACGAGGGCTGTCCTCCTCACCCACAGATGAGGTGGAGGCCTCAGAGCTGGAGCCCCGCCTGGTGTACTGCTACCCAGTTCGTCTGGCTGTGTCGGCACCCCCCATGCCTAGTGTGGAGATGCACATGGAGAATAGTGTGGTCTGCATCCGGTATAAGGGAGAGATGGTCAAGGTCAGCCGCAGCTACTTCAGCAAACTGGTGAGAGCTGGGGTAGCCCATACTGATGGTGTGAGTGGAGGCTTGGGCTCTTCCTTGACCATAGTCCTCAGCAACTGGCCAGGAATGAGGTCCTAAGATCACTGCTGAATGCCTTTCTTTCTGTCACACAGTGGCTCCTTTACCGCTATAGCTGTGTCGATGACTCAGCCTTTGAGAGGTTCCTGCCTCGAGTCTGGTGTCTTCTCCGTCGATACCAGGTACAGCTCTGGGGCCAGGGAGGGCTCCCTTGGAAGGGAGCAGGAAGCCTGAGCCTCACACTGACTAAGGCTGATCTGCAGATGATGTTTGGCGTGGGCCTCTACGAGGGGACTGGCCTGCAGGGGTCACTGCCTGTGCATGTCTTCGAGGCCCTGCACCGACTCTTCGGCGTCAGTTTCGAGTGCTTCGCCTCCCCTCTCAACTGCTACTTCCGCCAGTACTGTTCTGCCTTCCCTGACACAGATGGCTACTTTGGCTCCCGCGGGTGAGATCCAGGGGTTGCTGGGCCCCTTCTGCCCACAAAGATGCCAGTTGCGTCTTAAGGTTTAGGGCTTTGGAGCCGGGCAGTCTTGAAGGTAGCCCCTGCTTCCCTGTCTACCATGTGTGCACACTATTTACACGCCGAGGGAGCTCTGGGAGCCTCCATGTCTCTGGCTTCGTGGGCAGACCGTGTAACGGACACAACCTAAGCTGGCCTGTAGGCCTCTCCGTGCATTGGCTTAGGTTTGGATTAGGAACCCCTGGCTCCAGGCATTGAAGGGTGAGAAGGGAGAGCATCTTGAGAGTAGCAGGGTGAGGAGCATAGACGACCAGGTAAACTAGTAAAAAGTGCTAGGTGGACAAGGAGAGGCCTGTGCTCGTCAGCTGGGGAAGCCCTGGGTGTGGCGTCTGCTGTGGTGGCTTTGGACTCTAGTTCGACTTAGTGGACACAGGTACACACACCTAGCCTCCGTTCTCAGGTTACCTATTCGAGAGGCAGGGTCACTTCCTTGTCCTAGCACAATTAAGGGTGAATGTTGGCCTCTGGCCCGACTGTGGTCATCTTCACTGTGGCTGTCTAGAGGCGGGGGCAGTACGTGTGAGGGACGGGGTGCTGCTGGCGGCGCTACAATGCTCACCTTTCTGTAGGCCCTGCCTGGACTTCGCCCCGCTGAGTGGTTCCTTTGAGGCCAACCCTCCGTTCTGCGAGGAGCTCATGGATGCTATGGTCTCTCACTTTGAGGTGGGTGTGCTGCCAACTGACGGGGCAGGCACAATTGCAAACTGCCCTTCAGGGCCGTACCTCCTTTCCACCCCATACTCTCCCTCCCACAGAAACTGCTGGAGAGCTCACCAGAGCCCCTGTCCTTCATTGTGTTCATCCCCGAGTGGCGGGAGCCCCCCACGCCAGCGCTCACCCGAATGGAGCAGAGCCGCTTCAAACGCCACCAGCTGGTCTTGCCTGCCTTTGAGCACGAGTACCGCAGTGGCTCCCAGCACATCTGCAAGAAGTAGGTGCCCGGGCAGCAGGGGAAGGAAGCCAGGTCAGGCTGGCAGGCTGGGTGAGCAGGCCAGTCTGTGCCCTACCCTGAGCAGCTGCCTTTGCCCACAGGGAGGAAATGCACTACAAGGCCGTCCACAACACAGCCGTGCTCTTCTTGCAGAATGACCCCGGCTTTGCCAAGTGGGGGCCAACACCGGAGCGGCTGCAGGAGCTCACCACTGCCTACAAGCAGTCGGGCCGCAGCCACGGCTCCAGCTCCTCATCCTCCTCCTCAGAGGCCAAGGACCGGGACTCAGGCCGGGAGCAGGGTCCTAGTCGAGAGCCTCACCCCACTTAACACATCCTGCGGGGAGGAGGAGCCCTAGGGGTGCTGTTCCAGACCTGCTGGGACTCGGTCCTCAGGGCCCTCCCCTGGGGTGGCAGCAGGACTTGAGCTGCCAGGGACATAGGAATATTATGACTCTGCCAGGGCTCCCCCTCCCTGCTCTCACCCCTCAGATGCACCAAGTCCCTTGTGAATAGGCCCATGCCTTCCCAGCCCCACACTGACTCTGTTGCTGCCTTGTTTCATTTGTAAAAGGAAATACAGAAACTCCCCCAAGAGTGTGTGAAGGTCTTGGGGCGATTGCCTCTGTGACCACTCTGTACCCCATCTAGGTGCCCCTTATCAAGAACCCTAGGCTTTCACACCCATCCATCCTTGGGTCCTTGCAGGTCTGAGTCCCTAGCGGCTTCTGAGCTCAACAGGTTGGAGGAGTCCAGAGCATTACAGCTGAGCCTGCCTGGGTATCTCTGGGTTCTGCCTAAACCAGACTTGCAGGCTGCTAAATGTCTTACAGTCAAGGCTCAGGAGGAAGTAGAGCCTCGAAGTATAGTCCCTGCCCTTTGAGATCCTGGAGACAGGGAGCCCATGGGGAAAGCAGGGTTCTCTAGTTCAGTCCTCTCCTGAGTCAGGCTGGTTTGGCCTGTACTGGGACCACTGTAACAAGTGGGCCAGCTGACTCTAGAGCCAGGTAGCCTCCACTTGAGACTTCTGCTTGGTTCCTGGCCCTTACCTGGTTCAGGTTATTAGCACGTGTACAAAGAGAGCTACAAGAGCTGGACTCTGGTCCCTTTATTGAGACTGAGGAACCAGTGGGTCCATCCAAACAAAAATAAATTTCTCTCCCAAAGCCTGCCAGCAGGCTAAAGCACCCAGCATGTCCTGGCTGGGGCCCATGGCTACCCCCCAAAAGCACAGGTCTGGCTCCTTTGGAGTCAAGGGACACTGACTGTCCAATATTTGGAGGCCCTAAGTAGGACAGGAAAGTCCCTAGACTACAGGAGAGCTGGCCCCGATATCCAAGATCAGCGTTGGGCCTTTGAGGCTCAGTCATCCGTGATGGTAATGACGTCGTACTCGATGCCCTGGTGCTGCAGCTGTCGGATGTGTTCAGGCACTGCCTCCTCAGTGCCAAACAGGCCCTGGGCTTGGGCCATGGCAGCATCAGCCACCGCTGCCAGGGAGGGAAAAGCACAGTAAGCTTAAGGCTCCGGGAACTAGGCCTGGCCTCAGTTTCCTGGCTGTCAGTGTCCAGCCCCATCCATACCTGTAACAGCAGAATGTGCTGCAGCCTCAAGCTGAGCCTGGGTGACAAGCTGCTGGCCTGGGGATACAGGTACATACTGGATCTGGAGAAAGAAGCCAGTAAGAATAGAGTCCCACAGGATCCTCACTACCCCAGCTCTACCTGTTCCTCCAGGTACCATACCTGGGACTCCTGCAGGAATGGGGTCCCTTGCTCATACTGGATGTGTGTGATCTGGCCCTCCTGGACCTGGAGATAGGAAGCTGGCCGGTGATCCTAGAAAGAGGCTGTGCAGCCTTCCTCCAAACCTCACCGTGCCCCAGGCCTGGCCTACCTGGATATGATGGCCATCAGGGACCACAACGTACTCCGGAGGCAGTAGGTGCTGGACGCCATCCTGAGAGATGATATACTGAACCTAAGAGAGGACAAAGCGGGTGGTAGGGCTCCACCCCGTGGGAGCGGAGGTAAGTGGGCAGAGTAGAAGACACAACTATGGACACTGGCCCAGGTAGTCTGGAAACTTCTAAGGTGGGCCTTGGTGGGTAAGGAGCCAGTTTACCTGATTGTCAGAGGTCACCAGGTGCTGTACTGTCTGGCCATCTGCCGTGGTGATTTCTTGGATGTAGGTAGCTTCCTCCTGTCAAGACCAAGCCCAGCTTAGCCTCAGTTCTTTTATTTATGCGTGTGCTCTGTCTGTGTTAAGTGTTTTTTGGTGTGTATGTGCGGCCCCACCCCTGTATGGAGCCCGTAAGGTCAGAACAGGGGGTCAGGCATTGTTCTTCGCCACTTTTTTTGCCTATTCTGCTGAGGCAAGGTCTCTCCATGAACCTAGAGTTCTGGCTTGGCTGGAAGCCACACAAACCCCAAGAATCCTCTTGTCTCCACCCTCCTTGGAGCTGGGCTTCTACAAGTGCAAGAGATGCCAGACACCTGGCTTGTAGAGTGGTGGGATCCAAACTCTGGTTCTCATGATTGTGCAAGGCCTCTAACCCTGAGCCACCTCTCAGTTCCTCTAGCCTCAATTGTCTTTCCCATCCTTTCTGCAGGGGCTCCAGACCTTGTTCTTACCTGATTAGTCACTGTCTGTTCCTGGGCCACAAAGATGTGTTCCTGGCTCAGTGCCTGCTGTAGCCGCTCTGGACCTAGGACTCCATGACTGGACTGGAGGGCAGCTGGGCACAGAGGAGGAGGCTCATTAGGGGGTTCATGGAAAGCCTGAATGCCTCATCCCTGGACTTCCCTGGTTCTAGCTATGGTTCTAGCCTTTGGCCCCAAATGGCCCGCCCTGTGGCCCAGGAGTAGCTCACTGTGCAGTGTGGTCAGTGTTTCCTCTTCACTGTTGACGATGATGGCCTGGGCAGGGGCTCGGGCTGTAGAAGCCCCAGTCTTTCTCCCATCACTACTATGTAGCCGCTGGATGTGGAATTTGAGGTGCCCATTCCGGTTGAAACTGAGGAGAGGGCAGAGTAGGTGTGAAGTGGCTCCACCAGGTGTGCATGGAAGCCCCCCTACTTGCCATCCCCAGCCTCACCGCTGCCCACAGAGGTGGCATGAGAAAGGCTTCTCATTGGTGTGCGTTAGCATGTGCCGCCTCAGATCCTTCTTGTTCTTGGAGGCAAAGCTACATTGATTGCACTGGTGGGGCCTCAGGCTTGAGTGCTGTGCCATGTGAGCCTACACACGGTAGAGACCAGGTACCAGTGGGTCAGAATGACAGACAGCAGGTCTCCACAAAAACTAAAAGCACGTGTCGGTGAGGAGCTGGACCAAAAGCACGGACCTGACTGAGACTGGCCTACTACCACAGATCCAAAGCAAGGAAGCCAGAGAGGCTCTGCCATTACACCACTTGTGTCAGCCTGTGGCTCTGTACTGTCCCTTACTGAAGAGGAACCTCTTGCATGCTAGGGCTCAATCCTGCCTCACTGGGCCTTAGCTTTCCCATTGGAGGGTGGGGCTCTAGGCCCCGGCCCCTTCCAGAGCTCAGAGGATGCAGCACGGGGGTGGGATCTGGAAATGAAACCCTCCGGCCAGTGGAAGGAGCTCAAGCAATTGATGGGCAGCAGTCCTGCTGCTTCCACACCATCCCACCCACGCTGGCTCTGAAGGTCTGCCTGCCTCCCACCATCTCCAGCATCTCAGTCCCAACCACTCCTGTTGTCTCTGCTCCACAGCTTGGCTCCACTGCCACCTCTGCTGTCTTCCTTGCACCCTACCCAATACCTTGCTGCCCCTGCTCTACACTCTCCATCCTTCGTACTGGGAACACAGTCTGGCATTAGTCACTTTCTATCTGGTTGGGCTCCTGACCAGGCAGATCCCAGAGAGCTGGGATTTTGCTGAGTTACCTCTGATCCTAGAGGGGAACAGGGGACTAGGCTTGAGGAGATGCTCAATAAAGAGTTCTTATACAAATGAATGGCCACGCGAATGAAGGCAGAGGCATGGTGGGGGAGCACGTACCCGGACCTCAGGCCATTGGCGAGCACTGAAGGGGCAGTCAGGGCACTTGAAGGCAGCTGGCCCGGCATGGGCCCGCTTGTGACTCTCCATCTCTGCTCGGCCAGCGAAGGCCTCCGAGCATACCTTGCAGGAGAACTTCTTTGTTGACAAAGTTGCCGCAGATGGTGGGGAGGTGGGTACTACCAGGCCTAGGGTACTGCTGGCTGCAGGGGGTGGGGTGGAAGAGCCCTGGGGGCCTCCCACATGGTGGGTCTTCATTGGAGACAGAACCTCAGGACCATCTCTGGGTGGCCCTCCACACTGAAGCAGGGGCCACTTGGCTCCAGAGGCCAGAGTATCTGAACTTGGGAAGGAGATGGAGCCATCTGCAGTCAACTGTAGAAAAACCCACAGCATGAGGTGCTGAGGAGGGGCAAGGGCTGGACACTGGGTGGGGTGGCCACTCCCAAGACTCACCTCGATGTGGTGCAACTGGGTCCCATCAGCTGCCATGATGTAGTGGGTGCCAGCCTCCTTGAGGGTGTCACTCACAACCACAGCCTGGGCTGCCTCCCCAGGGGGTTCTTCGCTAAGGACACAGAGTGGAGGCATGAGGCGGGGTTCCAGAAAAAGATGAAAGCCTACAAGAATCCCTTCACCAAGCAACAGTCAAGCTGAAGGAGCCTGAGTGAACGTCGGGCTTGTTCAACCATTTCTACCCCAGCCCCTACCGTCTCTTCCATAAATGATTACCAAGAACTCAGTGTTTTACCCTACTTAAGGGGTGCCCCCATTTTCTTTGGTAGGAAGAAGACAGCACTCCAGGTGTCTAGCTCAGGTCTGGCCAAAAGGGGGACAGAAGGAGAGGCCAGCCAACAGGAAGGGACAGAATGGATCTGCTACCCAAGAAGAGAGGGCAGAGGCGCTCAGAGCTCCTCGATGGCCAAAGAGTTCAGGGAGCAGAGAAACACTCGTCACAAGGTTTGCACCAGAGGGAAGCCAAGCACAGTTTCAGGCAGCAGGTCAACAAAGGAACCCACACTTTTCAAGCACTCAGGACATAGGGGCTCATGGGGGCAGAGAGCTGGAACGATGGTGCAGCACCTAAGAACACTGGCTGCTCTTGCAGAGGACCCAGGATTGATGCCCAGAACCCACATGTTGTAACTCCAGTCCCAGGGGATCCAATACCTTCTAGCCCCAAACTCACACAGGCACATTTACGGGGGTGGGGGTGGGGTGGCAGTATATAGGATTGGGAACCAAGGTTCCAAGCCTCACCTCCTAAACATCTGACCTAACCTCACTAGCCTGTTGCCACATCTGTAAAAGCAGGGAAACCTGGATCTTGTGGGAGCTAGCTAGGCAAGACCATTAGCACCAAGTTCCCAGAAGAGCCAATGATCAAAGAATGATAGCTCCCCACTCTGCACAGGACACAATCTCCTCCTACAAACCAGGACTCCGCCTCCCGCTAACCAGGCTGGAGTGGGGAGCCCCTCTGAAAGGCTGAAAGGAGTCAAGGTACCTGTAAGGTGTGTCAGGAGCTGATGTCCTCTCCTCCAGAGGGGGTGCTGTGATGACACTGTAGCCGGCCCCACCA